CCTCGCTGTCGTCAGCCTTCATTGCAGAGTTTCTGGTATCAAATTTAGCTTCTGTTAGTCCTTTTATTGAATGCACTATGGGTATGGGTGTCCTTTGCGTCATAGTTTTTGGCTCCGCTTGAATCGAAGCGTCTTCGGTAACCCTTAAATTTGGCATTAAGTTGGAATTATTTCCCCGTGCAGTTTGTGACTCCTTATCGGCAGACTTCAAATCAGAGGTTTTGTTTCGAATATAAGCTTTCGTTAGAACCTTCAAAAACGTTAACATGAGTTTCTTTTCCGGCGCAGTGTTTGGCTCCGGTCTATTTTGAGTACTCTCAACCTTTTCATTCGGTTTCCCCACTTGAATCGAAGCGTCTTCAAACCCCCTAGTTTGTTGCTCAGTTAGTGGTTCCGTCGTTCTAGATGGAGTTTTTCCAGCTTTTTCACTCGATGTCCCCGCTTGAATCGAAACGTCTCCCGATCCCCCGAATTTTGGCATTAATTTTTTATCATTTCCCGGCGGAGCTTCTGACTCCGATTTATTCTGGCTGTCGTCAGCCTTCACATCAGACGCTTCTGCAATTCCACTGATTACTTGCATTAATTTATCAAGCTGTATGGTTGCCTTTGCTGTGAAACTTGAAATAGCTTCCTGAGACGCTTCCATTCCTGCGTTTTTCACTTCAATAAGAACAATGTAACTTGGTCCAAGCACAACAAAATCGATTTCGCCATCATCAGCATGCAAGCTTTTCTTACATCTTGAGCAGTTCTTTGCATTATGTTCCGGATGTTTCGGATCCCACATCCTCTTCTGATAATGAGAGTACTTGAAACTGTGTAGCACGATAATTGTTTGCCATTTTAATTGTTCAAGGGCTCGATACATTTTGACCTCCGCCTCATATTCTTGTTGTTTTTGTCCTTCAATTTCAGAAGTCTCCTTACTTTTCTCATCTGCTTCTCGGTGGAGATCGACATATTTGTGCTTGGGACAAGCTGGAAACATTTGAGCTATCTCGTCGTCCTCAAAGCAGAATGCTTTAAACAGTTTTTTCCCCTGTTCAAAACAGCAGTTTATGCTAGTGATCTTTTCATTGATTTTGATGCTTCTCAGAATCCTCGAGATTTCCAGAATATTGGAAATTTGTGCGGTCTCCAAAGTTACATCTCCCCAGAGTGACAGAAGCTCCAATTTGTCGGATTTTAAACAATCAGAAGCAGCAGTTGATTTTCCAATGTTTAATCTCACCCTGTCAACTGCTTTGTTCCCGAATAATGGTCCCATGACAATTGGCAAAAACATTTTAAAAGTTACACGACTTGGAAATTTATTAACAGCTGCCTTAATTACTCCGGAAGGAATTCTGATCGCTTCTTCTTCTCTATGAATATTGTTATCCATAGCACACCATATGGCGAAAAATGCATGTTGCACGACATCAAAAGAGCCTCTTATTGTTTCACTCTGGCACGGACTAGATCCAACCACATTTTCCTCCCACCAGGATTGGAAATCAGCAAAGTCGGTTTCTTCTATAACTCCAATTTTTTCACCCGTTTCTTTCAAGTCATTAAATTGCGCAATTTGAAAGTTTTGGTCTGTGTGCGGAAATGCGACGTATCTGAATACTTTCAAGCTACTTGCCGCTTCTGACGATGTCTCGGTGGATTCTGATTCATCTGTTTTGGCTACTAGGTCAATCAGTTCTAGCGTTGTGCGTTGACTCGATATTTTGAAATGCAATCGTGAACGACTATTTTCTTTCATAAGTTGATCACTTACAAGCTGAAACGATTTTTTGTCAGTAGGATTGACATTTATGAATCTTTCAACGTCGAGTTGTGTTGTTGGTTCATGAACATCAATTATAACTACAAAACTTGGCCCAAATATTAGGAAATCGTGACAGCCAATAACTGTTGACCTATGTTCGAGGGAGCAATTCGGAGTATCCTTCTCTTTCGCACATTCTTCCGGGTCATACTTTGGACGCCACATGTGGAACTGAGTGTGATTGTAGATGAGTTTATGCAAAACAATCAAGGGCTGCTTCAAATCTTTCAAAGCTTCATACACCATCAAATTACACAAATTAGCTTCAGTTTTTGCGTGTAATGTATCCAACTCGTTGGCTGAGCCCAAATCGGGGAAAAATAAGGGACATTGTTTGCTGTCTCTGCAATGCTTTTCGAACAATTGTTTCCCGTTTTGAATGAGGTGTTGTTTGGACGCGAGTGTCCAATCCATCCTGTACACTTCGACTGAGATTCGCTAAGATCTGATAAGTTACTGTGTAATGGTGTGACACTAGATTACGTTAATATCATGCAAGTCTCGGTATATTTAATTGAACACATATTTTAGGCACTATATTATTAATTTTTTGAGTAGCAGCTTATGACTAATGATCATCATAAAATTAATTAACTCAGTTCGTATTTTGTTATGGTACATTGACTCTAAGATAAGAAAAACATAGCCAACAAACATTTATCAACTTTAGAAAAAGTGTATATACAGAGAGACGAAGAGGAGATTCGCAACACTTGCGACACAATTAAAACATTGAATAACAAAAGAACGAACAGAAAAAAGAAGAGTCAATTTTTCAAAAAAAAGCTATAAAAAAAGCCTTAATAAGCATTGAGAATCGACGAACGAGCAACAGCTAAGGCAAAAAAAAAAATTGAGTCGACTCTCGTTAAACCGAAAACATAACTGCACAAAAAAATAAAAGCTTTAAAATATTTCAAAGGAAACTTTTATCGACTCATCCCTCCTGAAACAGGCGAAACATTAAAAACGATTCGACCTTTTAACTGCGCAAAACAAGGTAACTAAGCCGATATAACATTTCAATTACAGTACAATTAGTTTTTATCAAAAATTAAACAACCCCAGCTTCGAGAGGTAACTGCTAGAAAAGCGTACTAGATAACATAAATTGCATTTGTAAAGAATAGGAAAATCAGCCGACATAAATTAGGACGAAAACCACATCCATAAAAATTCAAAATTTTAATTCAAAGTATAAATAAGCCTCGAATTTGCAAAAACTCGAAGCTTGGCAAAAACTCGAATTAGCAAAAATCTGCGACCTATCAAATTTGAGTCTCACGCACTAACCATTCAACCACGGATGCTTAAAATCCCCAAAAACTAGCCAACAATAATGCAGCTACATATGCTAATAAATTGCCAATTCGATGCAGCGAAAGTAGCATCAAATACAAAAAGATACAATTTTGCATGTAAAAAACTCGCAAATCAATAAGCCACATTATGCATAAATTATACATTTCGAAAAATCGCGAGATGTACTAAGTTAGAAAATTTCTGAAATCGAGATTTTTTTATTGTTATGTTGTTTGAAACAAATAGCTCTCTTTAGTTCACTTGATGAATTAAAAATGCATCAACTGTGAAAACTTATAACTATTTGAATATCAATAAGCTGTAAAGGTGCAACAAAATATCAAAACATCTTATTGTCAATTCGATACAGCAAATTCGACGCAGCAAACATTGTTGCTTAAGTTCGACGCAGAAAATAATGTTGCAAATAAATCGCAACAAAATTTGCTTCTTAGGTTGGAAAAAAGGAAGTTCGTACTATAACACCTTGCTTCGCAAGTGTAATAAACTGAGCACATCAGCTTATGAGCATGCCAGAATTGAGCATATCAGCAAAACTTGGTAGAAAAGTTGTCTACGGGAAAAAGTCTAGTTCCCGAATACAAGTCACTTGCTCTCGGAAGTGAAATCAAGTTTAAAATTCGTTGAACTTCAAATACTGTTCACAATTGGCAATTTTTTCGACAAGCTATCCCATTCAAAGAAAACTGGATGAACAGAAATGTTTTATTTTCCGCTAGAGCTCTCAAAATTACTTTTTTCTAACCTAAAAGAATTCGAAAATTATTTTTTCCTGAAACTTTTCCAGTAAAAAAGACAAACAAAAGGCTCATTAAATAAAATATTTAAGTGAACATCCCTTCTTTCTTTTACACTCAATAGGCAAACTTTGAGCAGACAAGTATGAGCCGAAAAGTTCCGACTTCTATATAGTTTTTCCTTTATAATTTTTGATAACTTCGCTAAAAATTTAGCTGTGAGCTGACTCGGCCTCCATTTTGACCATGAAAAACAATCTACGCAACATTTTTAGGGGCATACATTAGGGGGCGGCAGTGCACGCCGCATCACCAGGAGACCAAACCTTCTCAATAAGCCGCATACCCAACAAAGTTTTTCTTAACAGAGGCGAAGCAGAGCTTCTCACTGCTTGTGATGACACATAGAAATAGGATTGCAAGCAGGCAGGCAGAAAAGGAAAGCCACAAAGTCCAAGAAAAGAAAAGAAAAAAAAACAGGACTAAAAAACTAAAAATGTTGCCTGGAATGATGTTATTTTTGCGGACAAATCGCCCAGAAACTTAATTAAGGGTGTTTAATTAAAATTCAAAAGCATCATCGAGCAGCAACTGAGCCTACAATACTTATATTTCAAAGTTGAGAAACTTTGCACTATAAATGATATTCGAAGACTTTTAAAATTTTGTGCGATCCGATGGGAGCATATAAAACGCTCTTCCCGTGAAACGACCCAAAATTATACTGATAAAATATAGGCCGAAATAATTTGGACTGGTTAATAAAAGTACATATTGCATGAGTAAACCAAAACACCAAAAGCAACTACAATGAAAGTTGCTTACAGCAAAAAAAAAACGAACGACTATAAGATGTGTCCACACCTCTTTTAATCACAAAAATAAACGCATTCGGTGCCAATATTTAGTAATTTTAGGGGAAAGCACGCCCAAAAAATTCCAAACAAGAATTTTTTGTCCCATTTGATTTTCAAAAAATTGCCCGCGATGCAGAAAACATTCACAAGCTAGGGTATTTGTAGTGTTTTTTGAAAGAGTGAAAAATCAATTAGGTCACAAAAAGGCCGGCAAAACTTGCAGCCCATTTTAACTTCCAGAAAGGATTAAAAAACGAGATTGACCTCTATCTCCGGAACATAGTACTGGTCTGTTGGCGGATCTAAGACGAAGAAAGAGGGCAGCACAATCGAGGAGTCCAGAGTGATGTCTCGGAATAGATTGGCATCTCGGATGAATCCGAATGTGAACATGTGTCCATAACTGGCCCTGTAATCGTCTGCAATCGCCTTGCTCCACATACGCAAAGACTGACTCTTTGGAAGGTCCTCGGGAACAATGGCCAGCGCCAACATATTACCTATTTAAGAAAAATAATCACGGTTGAATAAGGTTAAACTTTGGTCATGATTCCTCGTAATTTTAAACACTACATGTTTATATGTATAGAGTGTACTAAGCCAAAAGGAGTACAGAAAGTTGAAAAAGAGTCAATGAATGCAAGGACACAGAAAAAAATAATGACCCGTTTTTTGAAAAAAAAACCCGCAATTTTCGAATTTCCAAGAAATAATAGATGCTCTGAAAGCTGTTTGAATTTCTTGAAACATTCATGATTGGCTTTTTTATTCAAGATTGGCCAACTTCAAAAAACTATTAATTATCAATAAGTAATTAATAAGTATCAATTTTTTATTTGTACTCAATAAGTAATTTTTTTTATTTCGCTGGGAAAACTGAAAATTAAATTCCATTTTCGAAAATAGAAGTCAACCACTTTTTTATTCGCTTCGTAATTGGATAGCGCAAATTGCCTACCTTTCAGCTAACAAACTTGAATTGAACTCAAAACGTGCACATATACTTGATGGTATTCATAAATGCATTCAAGTATGAATTCACTTCTAGAGTTATTGGAGCATTTCAAGTCTTCATCACGAAAAAAAATCATCAAGACATATATAATAGTCTTCACCACGTTCATTAACTTTTAATAGTACTTGAAACTATTTAAAAAGCAGAAAAAGCTGGTATATGTACCAGTACACTACTATTATTTTGCAAAATAACCAACAAAAAAATGAGTTTTCGCATTTTTATTACGGGGAGGCGGGCTTTATGAAAAACGTTGAGCTCAACTTTCAAATGGGATCAATATATAAGTTATGTCAAACCGAATTTAGTTGCTTTAGTTGAAAAAACACTACACTTACTTGCTGAAATTGAAATAGCCCGGAGTTGAAAACTGAGTCTGAGTAAAGAGAAATTGATCGCTCCATAAAAAAATCTCGACATCCAGATTAACTTGACTAGCAAGCCCACTATAGCTACAGCCGCTCTAGAAATGAGAGAACGCTTATTTTTATTAGAAAAATAGGTTGGATGGATGGGTAGCTGGTTGTAGGGATGGCTGGATGAATGAATGGATGGGATGAAGGCAGGATACCTTGATGAAAGCGTGGATGACTGTCTAGATGGATGGCTAGACAGCTGGTTGGAGGGATGGCTGGATCGAAGGATGACTGGCTGAAGATGTGGATGGCAAGATGGATGACGGGTTGGATGGACGGCTGAATGGAAGAGAGCATAGATGGATGGTCTAGATGGATGTATTACTAGTTAGTTGAAAGGCTAGATAGATGGATGATTGGATAAATGGATTGATGGCTCGCCTGTATAAAGAAAGTGTTGGCTGACTGACTATATGGGAGATAGCGGAATGGAGGGATGGCTTGTTGGTTGAATAGATGACTAGTTGGATGCTTGTCTAGGTCGATGGTGGATGACTGTTGGGATGCATGGATTGCTAGATGTATGCGAGCCTTGATGGATGCATGCATGCCTTAAGGGGATGGATCTGGGACCGATGGATATCTAGATGAATGGATAGCTAAATCGACGACGAAAGGCTGGATGGACGACTGGCTGAACGACTGGATGGACTGCTGGATAATTGATGACTGGTTGAGATGGGTAGATAGCTGGATGGATGGATAGATGGCAGGATGGGTGGAGGGCTGAATTGTTAGAAGGATGGCTGGTTGACTCAATGAATGGAAGGCAGAAGGGATGGATGGATGGCTAGATCGATGAATGGCTAGATGAATGGGCTTCATGGATAGATAGATGGGTGGATGGCTGGTTTGATGGATCAATCGATGGCTAGATGGATGATGCAGGTATCGATGAATACAAGGATGGAAGATTAGATGAATGAACGGTCGGCGAGATGGCTGGATGGAGTAATGGAAAAAAAGTCTCGGAAATTGAATAAGTTTGATCAATCGAATCAGTTTGATCAATCGTAAATAATTAGGCTATATCTGCAAAAACTGACTGTACCGAAATCAGCCCAACAAAAAATCAACAATTGGAAAATTGGAGAACTAATTCGTGGAAATTTAATTTTTTAATAAGTTGAAGCATCATAAAAGCGCCATATTAACTTGACAACACAAATTTAGCGAGTTTCTTGTTAATATAGTAATCATATTTTTTACCCGATAGTATTCACATTTGGAAGCCAATGTGTCAAGCCCTGGCGAAACTCTGGAAGCCAATGTGTCAAGCCCTGGGTAAAATATGAAGGAATTTTACGTTCTGACAGCACCCTACTGAAAAAACGTCAAGTCTGGGAAACTGAAAAAGTTGACTAATCATACGTGCTAAGACCATATCGCAATTACTAATAGTACCGACATCAGCCCAACAAAAGATCAACATGTGAAAAAAATGGAGAACTATTTCGTGGAAATTTACTTTTTTAATGAGTTGAATTATCATGACACCGCGATATTATCTTGACAGTACAAAAACATGCAGTTGAAAAGTTCAAACTCAGCGAATTTCTTGTTAATATAGTATTCAAATTTTTAACCCGATAGTATTCATACTTGGATTCCAACGTTGCAAGCCCTGGGACAACCCTGAAAGCACCCTACCATAGGGCTACTAATTTCAATTGGTGAAGTAAACGCTAAAACGAAGAGCGGCCGTTCCCTAATGTATAAATGGATGAATCCAATCTTTACCTTTAACTGCACTGCGCCGCCCTCCTCCTCTTCCCCAGGCTGGCATCATTACTATATGCTTACAACCGGGCCTCTCAATTGACCTAGCATTCAAAAACTGGAAAATCGAAAAATTGCAATATAGGATATAGCTAAAACGTGCAACATTTCTTTCGTGAAACATGCAAATGAAATTTCAACCAAACGAAGTTTTTGTTCATTTATTAGATTTCCAAAAGATTTCATCCAAAAGATTTCATCCAGCAGAGTAGGTGAGCCATTCATTGAAAATTCAAATAAATAATAAACAATTGAAATGGGTAGGGTAGGAGGACAAAAGGTGTGGCTCGAAGACTAATCTTAAGTAGACGGTGCTATTGTAAAAGACCTACTAAGGGGATTCGACAGAAAACCCATAAATCTAATGGAGCTATGATTTTACGATATTTTCTCACGAAATAGTTTCAAAAAAGTTTCGTGATATAAACAAATATGAAGGAACTTTAATAGGAAGATAAGACTATAGGTTTGGACTGCATATTGAACCTGATCTAAGTGGAAGATTTTTTTAACAGATCACGATCAACTATCACGGCCAACAAGGAAATGAAAGCTGCCGTTGGTCTTCGTGCAAATACTCTAGCACCAAAAACAGGTTAGTACAATAAGTCGGTCGAAGTAGGATAGTGCAAAAGTATAATGGTTGAGATGCCAATCACTCCTGCCAATTAAATTGCGATTAATACATGAAAAATGACTAGCAAGGAAATTGTAAAAAGCTCCACAATGCAAAATACGCAGTGAGTGCTCGTTTAGTTTTACAACGCGAGCAACCGAACCTGATAAGTTGCCTGAAAAAGTTTATTCTCATCACTCGGAACTACTGAGAGCTTCGGTAGTTTACAAAACAGAATAACACACTTTGTTGAGTTTTAGTGGCTTTAGAGGATAAAAATAGGCGCAACTATGAACAGAGAAGATCAAAACAAGAACTGTTGAGCTGATGATCCTCGAAAATGGCAGTCAGAACACAGAAAATCAAAATTTGGTACAAATGGTAATTTTGAGCTGCTTGCTGTGAGTGTTGTCTCAAAGCTTCAAATTTATTTTTGCTAAAGGGTAACCTCTAAGTTCCCCAAGCCACAAAACACCAGTTTCACCTGGGTGTGAGTGAAAACACATTAATACGTTTAAACATGGTGAGATTCGTATTACACGCATTCAAAAATAATCGAGATAAATAGATAGATGGATAGATAGATAGATAGATATAGATATAATTAGATAGATAAGATAGATAGATAGTAATAGATAGATAGTGATAGATAGATAGATAGTGATAGATAGATAGATAGATAGATAGATAGATAGATAGATAGATATATAGATAGATAGATAGATAGATAGATAGATAGATAGATAGATAGATAGATAGAGATATCGGTAGGAGATAGATAGATAGATACGAGATAGATAGATGTGAAAATCAAATGATACCTGATATTGTCCAAAAAACATAGCAGAATACTAAATATTTTTTCAATTTTTATGGTCAGAACAAACATAGCCAATTGAAGATTGGAAAAGAGTAATGAAAGCAAGCAAAAAAAACACTGACTTTGTTGAAAAAATCTCAACTTTCGAAATTCAAGAAAAAAACAGATGCCCTTTAAGTTCTTTGGATTTCTAGAACGATTTATGATATGCGCTTTTTTGATAACACTAACCCAGCATAAGAAAACTGAATATACAGGTTAAGTTTTCATTCCGCTGGAAATCTAAAAATTAAATTACCCTTTCGAAACTAGAAATCGTTCACGTTTTGCGCGCCATTTCCATGTTCGTATTTGGAGAGTGCTATTTACGTCACTTTTAGCAGATGAATTTCAATTAACTGAAAATATGCATATATACCTAAGTGCATTCATAATCACATCTGTAGTTATGACTTTTAAAAAAATTTCCCAGAAAAAAATCAGTGAGACTTATATAAGAGTCTTCACTACATTCATTACTCTCAAAAAGCCCGTTCACTTGCTAAATGGCACTATATACAGTAGTGTAAGCGTAGCTAGTAGCTGATTTTTGCTGCCAAGAAAGCTAATCGTTATAGTAATCAAGGCTATAACACAAACCCAACCCGAAATCATTATTTTTAACACAAACTTGCAATACTTCATCAATTTAAAACTTGTGATGCATCAGAAACATCATGGCAAGCTAACTGACAACAATGAGCCAGAAGTAACTAAACCACAAAAAAAATTTTAAAAAAAAGAAAAAAAAAGAAAAAAACATCTGCAAAAACTTTATATCATAACTTGTTTTGAATTAAATTCGGTTTAGAAAAAAAAACATTTCAAAAAGGAAAACGGATGAAAGCGGAAATTAAGCCGACAATAATTGGGTAGACAGAAGTTGCGCCGAGGTGTTGTTCTGAACTCGAAGACGTAAAAATTTGGCACAAAATGAAGCCACTAAGCAAAATACGCCGAAACACGCGTAACTAATTAGAAAATTAGGTATGACCGGCAAATTGCCTCCAAAAAAATTTGCACGATAATTTTTTCATTTTTTGTGAAAACTTTTATTGCCAATAATGAAACTTCCTTTAAAGTTTCCAAAACTAGTTTTCGTTCGGTAAAAAAGAATTCTTTTTAGATTAAATGACTAATTTTTATATAACGAACATTATTCGATTGCTTTAATTGCTCGAAATTAGACTAAAAAACATTTAAAGTTGAATTGTTTCTTTTCAACAATAAACTAGCTCAAAAAGGATAGAAGATATGATGCAATCAAATCGCCAAAAATTGTGCGAGCAGTGACACATATACTGAAAAGTTTCATAAAAAATTTAGAAAAAATTTAAGCGAGTAAAGTTGGAAAAAGCGATTGCTTGGGTAATTATTGCGAAAAATTAAAAAACAATTGCAGACTATCTATCAGCATATTAGTCAAGCAAATTCGAAAAATGTTTACACAACACTTGGAACTAGATTATCAGCAGTAGTCGAAACAAGAAAATGGCCAAGAAGTGTTTTCGAGTAAGTTTGATACACAACCCAAATGACTGGGCTCGAACTTGAATATGAACAGCTGCTTTCACACGGCTTCAAATAATGAAGCAGTTTCCAAAATATGATTCATTAGCCCTATACGGCAAGTTTAGTTGTTCACTAATAAAATTCTTTGTTCATTTTTCACAAGAAAAGCTATTCGAAAGCATGAACACTCTTTTTAACAAAAAAGAGAGTTGAAGGACAAATGAGAGGCACTACCTGTTCCTTGCACTTCGTGGAATGTGTCCGGGGTGACTGCAGAGAAATTGGGGACCCTCTCCCTCTTGACCCACTGAGTCATACTCACAACACACGACTCAACTGCCTCTTCTTTTTCAGTGGTAGAGGTAGTCGCAAGAGTACATGGCCCCCCTCCTGACGGGGTTTCGAATCTGTAGAACGTTTTGCCCTTCACTACCGCCAATGAGTTTTTCACAAAGAGGTCGTCCGACTTCATGTCGTTTGGAAGAAAGTCTGTTCTCTGGATCGACTGAAACAAATCAAATAAATAGTTGAAGTTTGATCTTAAAAAAGGACTAAAAGAAAAATTTAGTTGTCCGAAGCAAGCTAATCGATTCATGAAACTTCACAACATTTCAAAAAATTTCATAGAGTGAATTTCAAAAGTCATTTCATGAAGCGAATTCGTTCGCAACAAAATTGAAATTTTATTGAAACACAGAGTTAAAATATTTCTAAGTAAGCTTTTAAAGCGAAGAGCTTTGCAAATTTTCCGATTATATCTTAGAGCAAATCGTTTACCAAATACAAAAAAAATCTTTACAGCAAGCTTTTAAAGCCATTTATCTTCGAAGAAAGTCAGTTATCTCTCATCGAGCACGTCAGTTCGGGAAACTTTTTTAAGCAAGCTATTTAAGCAAGAATTTCATAAAGCAAATCAATTCGTGAAAAGTAACAATTTTTTTTGAAGCAATCTATTCAAGCGATGAAACGTTGAAGTAATTCAAGTTGTTTCAGGAGCGATGAAGATTTGAAAACTTTCAAGTTACGCGAAAAGTAGAAACGCTTCGAAGCAAGCTTTAAGGCAATGAAAAGTTGAAATATTTCAAATTTTTTTTCATAGCTTGGATTGCTTAACAAAGAAAAGCTATTGATGCGATTAAACCTTAAGCCATTTCAAATTATTTCATGGGGCAAATCGTCTCGCAAAATTAGAAAACTTTTTAAGCAAGCTGTTAAAGCAAGAAAATTTGAAATAATTCGAAATAAAATTCATAGCTTGGATAGCTGCGTAAAACATAAATTAATCAAGATAGCTATTGAAGTAATGAAACTTTGAAAATTTGAAGCCATTTCATACAACGAATCGTTTTGTAAAAACTACAAATTTTTTTAAAACAAGCTAGCAAAGCGATGAAGCTTCAAAAAATTTAGCTGTTCTAGGAAAAGAGAACAAGAATTGAAACTTTGATTGACTTCAGTTAATTTAGAGCGATTCGGCTCGCGAAAATTATTTTTTTTTCAGCAAGCTGTCAAAGCGATAGAACTTTTGATTTACTTCGAAAAAAATTTCATCGCTTAGATTGCTTGACGAAAAAGTTTAAGTTACTCGATCAAGCTATTGAAGTGCTGAAACTGTGAATACTTTGAAGTTCTTTTCATAGCTTGGACTGCTTCACAGAAAAGTTAAGGTTGTTCAATTGAGCTATTGAAGCGATGAAACTTTCAAATATTTCAAAGTTCTTTTCAAAGCTTGGTTTGATTCGCAGAAAACTTAGTTAAAAAACGCGAGCTATTGAAGCGACGAAACTTCAAAATCTAGCCAACAGATAGTTGGAAAAGAGTCAATGAACGCAAGTAAACAGAAAAAGAATACGGACTTACATTTAGAAAAAATCTCAAGTTACGAATTTCGAAAAGAAAATAGATTGCCTTAAAGCTCTTTGAAATTCTAGAACAAATTAAAATAGACACTTTTTTGACAAAAAAACTAACCAATTTGATAAAACTGGATCAAAAAAAACTTTCAAATTCGATAGAAAAATTCCACTTCCGAAATAAGAAGTCAATCACGTTGTTCGTGACCTTTACCCTTTCGCTGTTCAATTGTGCAGTTTGCTTCCTTTTAAGAAAGGAATTGAAATGAACTTAAGACACGGAGGCGAAGACAAAACCAGACAGCCGCTAAGTCGGAAAAGTGGGAAAAAAATCGAAAACGTAAAAAACCAGTTCTATCAAAATTAATCAGACTAGATTTGAAACAGAAACATACCAGGACAATAAAATGAGATATTCGAATTGAAAGAAAATTTACCAAGCGGTACCAAAATCAAAAAGACCTTAGTAGAAACCCTTTAAGTCGAAAAATAATCAACAAGACTTAAGACCGCATCACCAGGGCTGCGCAAAAATAGATTGCAATTTTTTTTTTCACAAGCAATAGCGTATTGCAATAAGTTTTCAACAAAAATAAATTATTGCAATAGTTCAAATTTTCCAATAAATTATTGCACTATTGCAATAGTGACCTAAAATAATTCAAATCAAAGAGTGAATTAAATGAACATCCCAAAGTGTACGATTAACGTCTAAAAACAAAACACGTTCCAAATGAAGGGGCGAAATAGATTTTCTCAACTTGAGTTTTTTTACTTTTGATTGGCTGAAACAATCGATTATTTTGAACTTTACACGTGTTACTAAAACAAGCTCTATTGTGCAATAGATTGCTGAACAAAAATAGTTATTGCAATAGTGTGTCAACAAGAAATAGATTACTGCAATAAAAGATTCAAAAAAAATAAATTATTCCACTGGAACTATTGCAATAATTATAATACTATTGCAATAAAATCTATTTTTGAACCGCCCTGCCCATCACTCTCAAGAAAAGTTAATAAGTCCCCATCACTTTTAGAACACACACACACGCGCGTATACAAATTTTTCACATTTGTCACACGACGCAAATGAGGCCATTAAACCAATATAATTTGGACCAGAAACCTATTAAGCCGAGAAAAAAAAGAAAAACAAAAAAGCCAAAAAAATTGCCATCAAAAATTTGAGCTACAATGTCTATAAAAAAATTAGCAATTTGAGCGATCCAGAGAGCATAAAAATGTTGTTAACCTTGAAATTACTCACAATTAGGCCACTAAACCGATAAAATATAACCCGAAATCATTTGAGCAGAATAAATTTTTAAGCGAAAAAAAAAAACAAAAAGAAAAACAGGAAGTCAAACAAACAGTAGAATAAAAACAAAACACAAAGAGCAACTACAATGGCAAAAGAGATAGCAAAAAAAAACGATTACACGATGTGTCAACTAAGCAGGCCGACAAAACAAAAACAAACAAATCATAAGCCGACAATTTTTTTGAAACGGAATCTTTCCCGTTTGAAAAAAGACAGGCCTGTCAATTGAAAAAAAACCAGGACTATTGCCGTACCAGGTGTATTCGTTAACTTCAGGCCAAGTGTGCCAGAGACGCAAAAAAAAATGATTTCAATATGAACTGAAATTAAACTTACCATTTCTAATTTTGACCATTCTGTGAACAAAGCTATTTACGGGGAAAAATTCTAGTAACCGATTGCAATACCCTTGTCAAAAAACATTAATCAGCACTACCTTTGGTATTTACCGTATATGCGAAAATTACGTGGGAAAGCAATTGAGTTTTAAAAAAAATGCCAGAGGAAATTGTAGTCATACGTTTATGCATGTCCCAGGTCTTCCGCCACCATATTCCGAGAAATTTTTTTTCGAAATATGGTGGAGGAAGGCCTGGGACATGCATAAACGTGCGTTTCAGGTCCTGAAACGCACGTTTAATTGTGTCACAGGCCTTCCCCCACCATATTTGATTTTTAAAAAAATCACCCATATGTATAGAAAGAAAGTGTAGAAAGAAGCATTAAATTACATAAAAACAGTCAAAAAACAACAATCAGCACAACACACATCTTTGATATTTGCATGGATGAACCATTGAGTTCAAATCAAAAAATGCCGAAGGAAATTGTGGTCTTTAAACGAGTAAGCTTTGAAAACTTATAAATCACTTATACAACTCAAACATTTTTTGACCGATAAAACTTTTTTAAAACTAAACTACAACCGACCGGTCTTGTCAAAATCAATCAATTTTCTCTACAAAGGACACAAAATAAATGGAAATAGTCAACACAGAGGCTAAGCGGAGCTTCGCATCACTTGAGATCCCACAAAAATAGCATTGCAAGCGAGCAGACAGGAAGAAAACTGAAAACTTTTCGAAGAAACCACAAATTGAAAACTTTAAAATGTTGTCTGGAAGGATGTTCTATTTGCAGAAAACACGTTCAGAAACACATTCGACGGCGTTGAATCAAAACTCTAAACAATTATTAAGCAAAAAAATGTCCGGAAAAACTTTGAACTATAAATTCTACTCGGCGATTTTTAAGGTTTTGTGCAATCCGAGGAATGTATACGCATAATGGTTTTCTCGAGCGACCTAATAAGTGACTCTTAATAATTTCGAAGTTTTTTTAATAGCTTGGATTGCTTCACAACTTACATCTTTCAAGTAAGCTATTGAAGCGATTAAACTTCAATTAAATCTACAGCATTCGTGGCATTCTCTTAAACTTTGAGCCCAGAGAGTTTTCTTAACCATTGCGCTCGACAAAAATAAAACGCTGCATTTAGTTAAACACTATGTCCATAGCGCATTCCGACTTTCATTGAATATATAAGATCTACGCAGAAGGGAAGTTGCACTTCGCATACACAAGCAAAAATATGACCGATAACGCTACTGGGAAAAACTGAACGAGTAAACCTTTGAGTCTACAAAATTTCTTATGTGACGCACGCCAATTATGATTCTACATAATTGCTAAGTACCGCAAGCCAATTGTGACACATAAGCAGTAACAGTCAAGTTGAAAAAAAAAACAATTTACTAACTAACATACCTCAATTTAATGAGCGGACGCATTTTAACTAGTATACGAAAAAGTTCATTAAAAACATCCGACCATACCCAGGTTCGAACTCTCTTATTTTTTGCTGGTCTCCTTCCCTCCCTCTACGCTACAGATCCATAATACCTTGAAGCTAAATTGTTATTTGTAAAAAATAGTCTTTGTTGATATCCTTAGCATTGGCTGAACTTCGAAGATGGATCAAAATGAACACTTTCAAAATGCACATTTTGTCGCACGAATATTTGCGACTTAGGTTGGAAAAAAGGAGAGCTCATACTATCACACAAGCTTTGCTTGTGTAAAAAAAAACACCATCTAAGTGTTTGAAAGTCTTTTTATTGAGTAAGATGCTTTTTACAATTATAATTGAGGTAATGACGTAAACATCGAAAGGGTCTATGATACCAGATGCTCGAAAAAACAAGATCATAAACTTGCAAACAATGAAAAAATCAATTCAAAAGTAGAAGTAAAATCCAAAAACAGTACCTTGAAATAAGTTTTCTCTTGCATTTTATCCGCCACTATTTTATATGCCTCCAACATAGTCGAGACTGAAGATGATAGTTCTCCGTAGTAGAGGAAGAACGGCTTCTCCGAGTGCCTCAGCTTGACGAATTGAGCCACTGATGATATCTCGTCCACTGGGGGACCACTGACACGCTTCACGAATTCCTCTAAGTTGTCTAGAGTGCGCGAACCAGAGTATGTGAATTTGCGATCGCCTAAAACATATGTTGTTAATGCCAAATACCAAAATGTTGGCACTATCCTTTCTGGTAAACGAATCTGAACAAGTTAACTGTCTTAAAACTATTCATTTTGACGTCGGATGACAGTTCATCGATGATTTCCTCACGCAATAATCGTGTACAAAAAACTAATTAATTTAAAGTGCTTTCTGAATTGCTCAATGCCACCAAAATGGCGAACTATTTAGCATTAAATATCCAATCAGCTCGGATTATACAGCGCCGAATAAGTTTCAATTTTACGTCCTCCGAGACCTTCCTGGAGTTTTTCACTTACTCTCCCTAACACTTTGCTTGCTACTTAGTAAACAGAGGCAACATTTAATGATAACAAGAATTTATAATACTTTACTTCAACTGATTATACTGGCAAAAACTGAAATGTTTAACTTCAATTCTTCTGGCTTAGAGAAAAAAAAACAAAGCATACTAGTAACAACAATATAATTTGACTTGCTTAGAAATTTAAGAGGCCAAATTTATTCGGTTCATCTCCATGACAGTTCATGACCTCATCACCCTTAGATAACCCTGGTACTAATTTCTATTTAACAGACAAAATAAAACAAATTCCATTTTTAGCATCGTATCATCAATTGAATTTACTTCAACTTCTGAACTTCTCAAAACTCCATATCGACATCACGCAAAACTACCATATACTCTATATGAAACAAAAATTGTTCAATAGCAAACATTGCTAATCTTATTTTAATACATTGCTCAGCCACCAGCAGTCGAAGCCAGAAAATGGCCAGTTGGCCTGCTCTTTGACGAAAATCTGCGAATCTCATCATAAGAAAAAAGAACTGAAAAAATGATTAGATGAAACTAAATGAATTGCCTGATTCATGCAGCCAACGTTTAACTATTAATGCATTGATGTTTTTGGGCGTAATCTTTTAACATCAACAATTTTTGGGGCATAATTGATTAGGCAAAAATTTGTTTTGGGAGTAACCATTCAGTGAACAATTTAATTTTCGAAATGACCGACTGACCTTTGAAGAATATGAGAGTGGGGAATCCCTTGACCTCGAATTGGTGTGCAACGTGTTCATGGATGGTGGCATCCACTCTGGCCACAGTCACGCCCAGTGGACGCACCCTCTTCTCCAGTTCACTCCACGTAGGCTCAAGCTGTAACGAGACAGTGACAATGAGATTTATTTATGAAAACCCATCTCGGAAGATCACCAAAAACTCCAGTTAGCTGCCTATCGACTGGTGTCCTCATGATCATCATTTCAAAAAACACTCAGTACATCATCAGGTAGAAATTAAATAAGCATGTTTTCAGTCAGAAGAAGGCTAGTATGAGGAACACCATGACCCAAGCTTGCTGCTTGAGTGGCAAGGCAACATTACCCAGCCCCGAAAAAAAAACGAAAACTATTGCATATATCTCTTAAAATTTCAGCAGCGCAGCTGTTCTATCTTAAGATCTGAACACCTCTGATGTTTGTCTTTTCCAGTTGACTAAACAGTCTTAATCTTAAACCCATAGTTAAGCTCAGTATGTCCTACCAAATTCGTTTTGCATGGAAGCGACAACGGAGAAAAGTGAACCCAAACAAATGAGCTGATAATCCATTAATTCACTGCCCGATTCTAAATAATATGAGAATAGTCGATTGCTTTACAAGACGCACAGAATCTATGATTACAATTATTTTTGCGAAATAAACAAACGAAGAAAATTTATTTTAATATTATATTACTAAATTTGTGCGAGCGAGCGAGAGAGACAGTGAAAAAAGAATACAAAAAAGAAAACTACAACTAAAACACACCCAAACACAAAAATCTTCATCGCTTTCAATAAAACTAGCATGTAACGCACCTCCGGTGCTGCGAATTTATGACAACTCATAAAAACGGCATATATTGGAAAGAATATTTGCATCCTTTGAGTGTACTCTGACATAACCCAAGTATTACACAGGTTGGTAACTTCAAATTTTGTAAAGTTAGTCAAGTTTTTTTTTCAAACAACTCTTTTTGCTTCGGTACCAGAAATGTTTCAATTTTAAAATGTTGAAATTTTTGTGGGAAAGAAGTTATGCGATGGCATATTATCTTCCAAATATCTTAAATTGGCAGCAAAGATAAAGGTCTGTAATTTCCCAAATTTAATTTCTCTCCAAATTTGAAAAATTTATGTCGTGAGCAACCTACAATTCGTCAAAAAATATATTTTAAATTTATCCAGAAACGCTCTTTTGGTCGGAATAATTTTTTTGAATACATAATTCCTTAGGTCATTAAAATTCAAAGATATTTTTGTTGAATATTTGCTATTGTATTCAAAACTTTTCAGTAGACCTAGTTTTTTAAATTGTTTTTTTTTCGACTTCTGTTTATTGTTTGTGATTTTTTTAAATATCAGTTCAGTGAAAATTACATCTCGAAAACTAAAAGCAATTGAACAGTCGCATTTGGACGCAAGATTTGCAGCTTCTGAGAGTACTCACAACAGTCAACTACAGGGTCGGGAACTTCTAATTTTGAGAAAATTCAAATTGAATTTTTCTAATTTTATTTTTGAAAAAACCAAGCGAAGTGCCATATCCCAAAAAACTACAAAAAATTTAGCACTCAAAAAATTGAGCAAGGATATAAGCAGTCACACTTAAAGGAAAAACTCGCAACCCCTGGGAGTGCCCTAATAAAATATCAGTTGAGAACATAACAAAAAAATTTTAAATCTAAGTTCTTTGAACAATTAAGAAAAACACTACAAACGTCACATCTCGGAAACAAAAAACATTAGAGCAGTGGCATTTGGACGCAACACTGCAACATGACACTCCTGAGAGTACCCTCACAGTACCCAAGTACATGATTGAGAATTTCAAATCCTTTGAACTTTTTAAAATCCAAGTTTTCTGAAAAATTAAAAAGAAATCATAAAACACTTCATATCACGAAATAGAGATGAGAACTTCAAATTTTGTGAATTTTTCTATATCTAGTCTCTTTGTTTCTATATTCTGTGTCTATATCTTAGTTCTTTGAAAAACTTAGAAAAAATCCTGAAAACCGTCATATCTCCAAAACAACAAAGATTTGAGCAGTCATATTCAGAGGCAAGAGTTGCCAGCTCGGAGAGTACCCTCACAGTTTCTAATAACAGGATTGAGAACTTAACAAAATTTTTGAATTTTTTAAAATTTATGTTTTTTTGAAAATATTTGAAAAAATCACAAAAAACGTCATCGTAGAAAACTACAAGGATTTGAGAAGTGAGATTTGGAGGCAAGATTCGCAACCCATGAGAGTTTCCTGACAGCACCCAACTACTGGGTTGAGAATTTCATACTTTGTTTTAAAAATTTCAAGTTACTTTTTAAGAAACTTGAAAAATCTCGAAAATTGCCGTATGTCGTAAGCTAAAAAGATTTGGTAACTCATATATGGAGGCCAAAATCGCAACACCTGGGGAAGCCTTGACAGCATCCCAATATTGGGTTGCTAATTTCAAACTTGGTTAAATAAACATTGAGTTTAAACTGGAAAATCGAAAAAATCTTAACCATTGCAATATACGATATAGCTTAAACATGCAAAAATATTATTTTGAAAAAGCTTAACCATGGCGAGATAGTGAAGCCCGCATTTAAATAAATAACAATAGACTTCTCTTTTTTCAACTCTCAAATTTTTCAAACCATTTTTCAACTTTTGAAAATCACGTAAAAATTGCTTTGATTTCAATTTTTTTTACACAGGCGAAGCTGCACTTTCGCAAACACTTGCGAGAACACGACCAAATAGCAGCTCTATCAAGTGAAATAAGAAAAGGCAGAAATAAGTCTCGAATTAGCAAAAACTCGGCTACATGTAGGATTCGAATCTGCGACCTACTGCAATCAAGAGATTTTGAGTCTCACGCACTACCAACTCAGCCACGCAAGCTTAACAACCGACAAACACTAGTCACGAATAAAGCAGCAACAAATGCTAATAACTTGCCAATGCGATTCAACAGAAGTGGCGTCAAATACAAATTGACTCAGTTTAGCTTGTAAAAATTTGGAATATAACTAACTGAAGGCATCCAAATTAACTTAGCATATAACATATCGCAAAGCATAAAGCCGCATTATGTATAAATTATGTATTTCAAAAAATTACCAGATATATTGATTTGGAAAAATTCTGAAATCGAGTTTTCATTATTGTATTGTTATGTTGTTTGAAAAAAAAATTTCGGTTCATTTGCTGAATGAGCACAGAGGCGAAGCTGCGTTTCGCAAACACTTACAAGAACACGACCGAAAAGTAGATCTATCAAGTTGAATAAGAAAAGTAGAAATAAGCCTCGAATTAGCAAAAACTCGGCTATGCGTTAGATTCGATTCTGCGACCTACTGCAATCAAATGATTTTGAATCTCACGCACTATTCCTCAGCCACTCAAGCTTAATAACCGACAAACACTAGTCATGAATAAAGCAGCTATATATGCTAACAAATTGCCAATGCGCTTCAGCAGCAAATACAAATAGACTCAGTGTTGCGATAATTTGGAATATAACAAACTTAAGGCATCCAAATTTATTTTGCATGTAACAAATCGCAAAGCATAAAGCCATACATTAAGTATAAATTATGCATTTCGAAAAATTGCGAGATAATTTGAGTTAGAAAACTTCTGAAATCGAGTTTTTAATATTGAGACGTTATTTGAAACAAATAGCTCTTTTCGGTTCATTTTATGAATTAAAAATGCATCAACTGGGTTAATTTATTTTTATTCGAATGCAAAAGCACATGCTATCAAAAAGCTGTAAAGGTGCCCCACCAATATTTGTGACTTAGGTTGGAAAAAAAGAAGGTTCGCACTAATACACTAACTTCACAAGTGTAAAAATGCATCAACTGTGTAAACTTATTACTATTCGAATGTCAAAGCACATGCTATCAAAAAGTTGTAATAGTACCCTAAAAGTGGCCCCAATAATTGCGACTAAACTTGGAAAAAAAGAAGATTCGTACAAATACACTGCTTCGCAACTGTAATGATTGACACTTTTTAAAACCCTTAAGTAAATCCACTGTCGGAACTAAGTCATTGACATTTTTCCGCGCCAGTTCCGCCTTCCTAATTTGGTATCGTAATTTGGCTTCGTCTTAGTATGTATGAACGTGAATTGATTTTAAAATAAATAAAAACAAAAAATCAAATGCTATCGTGATCAAATATTTAAAATAAAATTAAGTACTTGGTATCGTAAGTTTAAAATAAATTCAAAAACACATAAACACAGCTAAACTGCAATTTGCAAACACAAGCAAGGAAACGAAAAAAAAGCAGCTCTAAATAAGAAAACGTAAAGATAAATCTTCATATATAAAAAATGTGTGGCGGATTCAAAACACCGACCTGTAAACTAGGAGTCTCACGTCCTTGCATCTGTATCATGGTCGGTTGATAATCGCAAAACCTAACTACCAAAAGCAGAGAACACATGCTATTAAACTACAACTGCTACACGTTGTGATTATAGCGAAAGGGCCGCCAAATGAGCACTTTTATTTGCGAGTTAGGTTGAATGAAAATGATTCGCACTATGACACTAAGCTGGCTAGCTGGTTTGTGTAAAACGTGATAAATAATTTCGTTCCTTAAACCTTTTAAATTTACTACTTGTTGGATTTGTTGACATAATTTCGATGGTCCGAACATTATATACCTCTTAAAATACCTGCCTATCTTGTTTTTATTAATCAAATTCTATAACTAAACAAGGATAACCGCTTACTGTGCAAGTAGCCTGAATGTTCCAGCCACAGTCTTAAAAATACAAAAATAATTTTTCAAATTGGTGTTTTTTATGCATGTTGTGATAAAAAGATTTGAAGGAAAAAGAGAACTTAGGCATATTTATAGTCATAGTAAAATAGGTCAATTATAAAACAGTTTTTTTTGCAGATATGATTAGAATTTTCAAGATTTTGGATCCCAAAATTGCGCTAAAAGCTCCAAAAACAACCTTTATTTGAGTGAAACAACGTTTTCACAGCCTAATTTATGCTTATATATGCTACTTTAAGCCTAGACGGTCAACTTATTAGCTGGAAATTAGACCAAAAACCAAAAACTTCAAAACGGTTTTTCTGAACACTGTGAAAAAATTTTAGAAAACTTTTAATTTCACTCAAATCACGACTAAAAGGTCTTTAACCCAGTCCGATCATTATTTGTGGTACCTGATTTTTCGTGGAAAACAAAAAACAAAAAACTGAAACACACCCAATTACAAAATTCCTCCCCATTTTCAACAGTTAAAATGTCTGTAACTCTTTGATGTTCTATCTCCTAAGTCGAGCAACAAGAGGAGAAAAAGGTGAAACAAAATTGAACTTTGAGTTATTGCTGTGCTGTTGGAAAATTATAACTTGGGAACATTTATGACAATTGCTATCTCCAAACATGCATCGTTAACACTAGACCGGTCGAAATTGAGTCTGAAGAGGCCATTAAGCTTTTTAAAAAATTTTAAAGCATTTATCCGAAGAAAAACGTTTATGATTCAGCGGTGCAAGCTATCTTTCGAAACAAAACCGATAAGCTGGATATTTGTGCCAAAAAACTTTCCATCTGAAAATCGGTCAATCAAAGCTGTGCAACAACATTGAACATTTTTGAACTTTCTAAATTCGAAAGTAACATCCTCTTAAAGATTTTCGATTTTCATGATTAATATATGATTAAGTCCTTTTTGATAAATTTAAAGCTTTATTTGAGAAACCTGAAAAACTAGTAGTCTTTCTCATTTCGCACAAAAATCTAAAAACTTTATTACACTTTCGAAACTAGAAGTCGTCATGTTTTTCGTAACTTTAAAACTCTGGCTTTTCAAAGAAGAAAATGGAATTAAAAAAAAATTCAAATTTGAACGTGAACAAATTTTAAGACTTTTTTATGAAAATAATATAATCACGACATATACAAGTGTCTTTCACTACGTTTAACGCCACTTAAAAAAAAACAAATTTTTACCTCGCGAAAAACCATTTTGTTGCTGAGCAAAGGTAAATTAAGGACGTAACTTCACAATAAGTTTGAACTACAGTTGCATATAATACAAGGACAGTAGCCGAGCGTATACACAGTGTTTTCCAGCAGGTTCGGCGCAGGTTTTAACCCCACCTAGGTCGTTTCCTTTATAAAAACTCAAATATGAGCCGACCTTGACGGAACATAAAATATATCATCCGTAACCGGGTTCAAGCCCCTCAAAAACATTTCCTGGTTTTAGTAGCTATTTAAACTAGTTCATAAACCGGCCTTGGCCGATCTTCTTGACAGGTTTTCGTCTGTCAAAACCATGTTTTGCCAAAATTGTGAACGCTCTCACACGCTCAAAATCGGTGCTAATTCAACTTGTCTTTATTGAATATGTATTAACTGTATATGTAAGATTACCGAAAATCTGGTTGACCTGATAAAACTTCGCAGATCGCAGAAAATAATTGACTAGTCATTTTTTTGGGTGTTAAGGCTATCCTTTTTCGATTAAATTTCGATGTTCTGTGAGCCAAAACCTGTCCGGTTAAAAATGACAAAGGCAGTCCAAGCATTGCGCGACATGGGCCAATATCACAAAAGAGAACACAGAAAACAACAAAATAAGGCAATTATTCTGATCAAAAGTATGCCAGAAATCCACGTGACATAAACTAGTCGACAAAATTAAGCGCAAATTTCGCATTTTACTCTGTAAAATGCCTGTTTTCAATGTACATTTTTAACAATAATGCCTTCAAAATTCAATAAAATTTTTACATAGACCAAGAGCAAAACATCAGAGCAACCCTCTACGAAACCATCAATAATTGGTTTTATTGACTTACCAATGTAATCCGGGTTTGAAAATGCCAGTTTTCCTCATCTGCACTAAGTTTTTTACTTCGCGTGAATAAGTGACTAACGTCTGAGTTAAGTAAAAATTTCACACTGATTGCTTCCTTTCTAGCCGAGAATGTTTCACGTTGCATGAGCAAATTTTCTACTCCGCTGATTCAAGAAAGATTTCAATACGATGCAAAACTTAGTGCAGATGAGGACAACTGGCATTTTCAGACCCGGATTACATTGGTAAGTAATTAAAACCAAATATTGATGGTTTCGTAGAGGGTTGCTCTGATGTTTTGCTCTTGGTCTATGTAAAAATTTTATTGAATTTTGAAGGCAATATTGTTAAAAATGTACATTGAAAACAGGCATTTTACAGAGTAAAATGCGAAATTTGCGCTTAATTTTGTCGACTAGTTTATGTCACGTGGATTTCTGGCATACTTTTGATCAGAATAATTGCCTTATTTTGTTGTTTTCTGTGTTCTCTTTTGTGATATTGGCCCATGTCGCGCAATGCTTGGACTGCCTTTGTCATTCTTAACCGGACAGGTTTTGGCTCACAGAACATCGAAATTTAATCGAAAAAGGATAGCCTTAACACCCAAAAAAATGACTAGTCAATTATTTTGTACATTGACAATTATTTTGTACATCAAAAATGTACATTGAAAACAGGCATTTTACAGAGTAAAATCTAGAATTTGCGCTTAATTTTGTCCACTAGTGTAACTTAACAACAAGAATTTACTCACTGCCCTAAAGTTTACGATTTACAATTTTGCGATAATTAAGTACAAGTCCGTACGATATTTCAAAGTGACTGACCTTCTTGCAGTAGCCGCACCACGGAGCATAGAACTTGACAAACCACATGCCCCCTTGCTCCTTCTTAGTCAACAACTCACTCCCCATCTCCAAGACATTTCCCATGCAATCAACCGGTCCAGGTGTGATCAAACAAATTATCACGATTGCCACCAAAATAAACGAAATCAGTTCACGATTCATTTTGTCACGTCGCTCTTTTTCTGATTTTTTGATGGACGGACTGCTCTTGTTACTTACTCAAAACTTCTGATGATCGCTGATGTTGTTGTTGTTTTCTCTGAAGTACCTGATGATCGATGCTGCTGTTTTCTTCTATTTTTGAAATGATGTTTATTCTCCTACTTTAAGTAGATAATGAAACACATGCAGCAGAGCGGATTGTAAAGACGCTGAAGGATGGTTTACCAGCAGTATAAAAAATTATTGCGTTTTCCTGTTGGGAAAAACAGCATTAATGAGAGCTACATTGACATTGACGTTGCTTATTGAGGTAGCAGAAGTAGTATGAAGTATCACTACTGCATTTACGCTCTAAAAAAGCCAATTAAACTTAATTTGAATGACGAAATTAAACAAATGAAAATTTACACAAATGAAATTAAACATGAATGTAAACAATCTATGAAAATGTATATGAAAGGACTATCAAGGGAAAAACATGGCAATAAGATAGTTTTCAATAATAATGTTGTTCTGCTCTTGGTTCATCCACTGTGCTAATATAGAAAAAAACATATAGAAAAAAAAGACAAGAGTTATTTAACATATAGTCATTTAACAAACATCCTGGAAACTAGTACTGAGCGCAATCATAGCATTTCAAGCTTGCGAATAGAAAATGTGACAGAAATGATTATGTCAAGAAAAGAGTGAAAGTTTTGGAGAAATAAAAGAAAAATCTAATTTCAGAAAATGGGACATAACCACCTGCATTAAACAAGCTTTAACTACTGAGCCGATACTACTTTGGTAGATGCCCGTTGAGCAGAAAACAAAAAATTGCCATGAGCTTTTGATGCCATGAGCTTTAGAGCGATTGAGTTTTAAAAATTGAATTTTTTTCACCACCATCCCGCCGAAAAACTCAAAATGATTAATTTTCAACTTTAAAATATGTAAAATAAGCTGACGAACCCGTTGAAACATAAATGAAAACCATTCGGAAGAATTTAAAAAATTTAAAAATTACCAACTCAGGTTTTCAAAGTCCAAGTTAATAAAAATTACAAATAACAAAACAACTGTCAATTATTATAAAAACTGATTAAAATCAGAATAAAATACCATACTTTGGAAACAAAGCAGAGAAAAAATGAGAAGTTAAACAAAAGTCCGACAACTCAAGTTTTCCCAGAAAAAAATCTATTTCATAGATAGTGAAAAAAACAAGGTCAGACCGGGATTCGAATTTCATAACTTCAGAAGAATCTTATAAGTTGTTTAGGTTCAATAACAAAGCAAGTTCAATTTCTTAAGAATTTACAGGAAAAATTGTTAACGGGATAAAAATCTTTGACCCGATTACAATTCACTTGCTCTCGCTGAAAAAAAAAACTAAAATAATAAGATACGAAACTAAAACAACTAATAAAACTTAAATTCAAAGCTTCAAACCGAAAAAAAACTGCACATACCAAATTATTAAATGGTCAAAAACAAAAACCACCCAGTAATTTCACTAAATTTTTAGCATTAGAGAGCTTACTTCAAAATGATGCGCAGAACGAAAAACAGTAAAAAATTAGCTCTAAATAAGAAACACCGGTAAAAAAATTATCCTCAAAGACCATGTGCCAACTAGAGATCAAACCAGCTGAAAATAACAGAAGAACTAGATTGCCGAACAACTCGATTCTAAATTGAGGAAACGTTTTCGGAATTCAGATCACGACTATAAGGCTAATATGCTACCACACTTGACTTGCTTTCCTTGAGGTCAAACTTGGAGCAACAATCGAACAGAGAACGACTAGTTTTAAGAATGAATAATGGGACTTCAAATAATTTATTGGCAGAGGCAAATCACCATTTTAAAAAACTGATGCAACAGACTTTAGACAAATTAGCGAACTAGAAATAAAAACTGCGGAGCGAATTTGGAAAATAACAAAACATTTTGCTTATAGTTAAAACCGATGCCAGGAAGAAAACAGCAAAAAAAAACTCGCTCTAGATAAGAAAAAAACCGATAAAGAAATTATCCTTCAAAATACAATGCGGCAGCTGGGGATGAAACCCAAAATTTATAGCTTCTTAGATTACGATAAATCCAAGAAAATTAAAAACACGGTGCAAACAAAACGGCATATAGATAAAGCGGCATAAAATCTAGCTAGCATTCGGAGATACACACAATTTTATCTACATTTATGTTCAGCGTATTGAAGAGCCAAAATTCTGCTCCCGATGAGCCGAAAGTTTGCCAATGACTTTCATCGATCAAGATAAAAGACAATCAGAACATCAAAATTTACGTAGCAATCGCAAGTAGTGAACGCTTGCTCCGCTTCGTTTTGCTGTGCTTGCCTTCTGCACGAGTTTTTAAGCGCACGTCAATCAGTGTTTGCCAATAATCAGTAATCATCAAACTCGACAGTTTCTCGGTTAATCGAATGTGTGGCTATTTGGTCAATAACATAGTCGAATGTGTTTTGCTAGAGCAGCTGTGGCCTTCGGTCACGGTTGGGGGGGGGGGGTCCAGTGTCATCGGCCTCTTCAAAGTGGGACCGGCTGCGGCAAAATGGATGACATCTCCCTCCCCCACGGTTGGTCCTGCACTGAGCAGAACCGGAGGCTAATAAAAAAATGTGTTTTCTGTGTTTCAAAATCCATTATCATTGGCTTAGAGTCCCGCAAAGGTGTCTCATATACAATATGCTGTTTTATCTATATGCCGTTTTTACGGTCCCCTAAAAACGACTGACATGTATCAAAGCGAAAAACACTCATAATTCGTATTACGTGCAAATACTGAGAAAATTATCATTAGTCAAAAATTTTCTTTAGAACAAAAAATTGCATAGGCTACAGAATCTTTCGTCAATGAGCTGAAGAGCTCGTATGTTGATTTTTCACCTTTCCCAGAGTGGATAAAGGGCCTTAAAAACAATGAAAAAATTGGAACTTAACAACTGAGTAAATATTTCAGTTTGAGTAAATATTTCAGTTTGCATAACTTGTGTTTGCATGACCGTTATCAGAAAACTGAATTTTCAATGACTACTAAAAGCATTTGAGTAACTCTAAGTCAAAACTGCTCTTGGTAAAAATTTATTGAAAATCGAATCGAATCAAATCAATTAATCGTGAAAAGCAAATGGGCATTTTCTAATTAAAGCAAAATAGCTGCACAATTCTAAACTGAGTTGACAATTATTCTTCAGACTGACAAAATCCTGGATGAGATTAATGTTAGCAAATAGGACGACAAATTGAAACTTTGTTTAAAAGTCTGAGTCAAAAGTTTAAAATATTCCCGTTAATTTCCGAAAATAAGTTATAATATGTTAATCTTAATTTATACATACCACACACCGGAAAAATCACAATAAACAGTGTAACGCTAGCCTCACATTGTACAGTTTATTAATTCAAGTTCGATCTCATTTTGATCATTTCCAGGCGCTTTCTAAACTCATCAACATCCACCGACATTGAAGTACTTGATGATCCAGCCTGAGCTGACTTTTTAGATGACATAACCGAAGTGTTGGGAACATTCTGAGCGTCTTCGTCATTGTTGATCCCAATCGCTGTTTTAGTTCGCATCATTACATTGTCTTGTGAGTTCAAATCAACTGACTTCGATTGTAGTTGATTGTTACTGTTGGTTATTGCACTGCTTTTATTCATAAGCGGACCTCGTTGTAAATTTCCATTAGCCATGATTTCTGAATTCGTAAACGCGTATTTGCTTGCATCAGTTGAGCCTTGCCGAGACAAAACTTCACGTTCCCATGTTACCATAGTGTCTTTCATTTTCTGAACCAGCTGTTTGTAATGTTCCACTGATTTCGGCTCCCCTTCGGCGCTAAAAGGTTTATCTTTTGGCCATTTTCTGATTTTATCTCTTGGTTTTTCGTAGCAAGGGTTATCGATTACATTTTTGACCCATCTTGCAATATGAGGCTCCAAAACTGTGATGAACTTAGCCGTATCGACATTCGGATTCGCAAGTTTGAATCTGAGAAATTTGAAACAAGCGTCTTGAGGGTTCCCATTTCTGTATTTAGCCACGAGATCCTGAATGGTTTCATCGTGAGTTTTAGAGAGACCCGTGATATCTTCGCCTTTGCTGTGACCGTTAGTTGTTGCTTTAGCAGCAGGAATCTTGGAAGACTTGAAACTATCGAGGATTTTTTTAACATATCTCTCGACTTCTGATTCCTTGTTGTTTGGAATCTGTTGGACCAGTTCCAGTACCGCGACTCCTTTGGACTTTGTGATCCAGAACAAAAGAGTCTTTACTGTTCTTACTGGTTGATCCCATTGTTTGTTAGTCCAGAAGGAGCTAGGGAACTCCTTCAAAAAGTGATGACACTCGATGACGATTGGCAACTGATCATAGTTCACATATTCGTGGTCCAATGATCGCATCGCTCGCCAACAACTTTTTAGAGTACATTGAAGAACCTTGTCAGCCTTTTGAACTCCACTGAACTTATCAGGCAAAGACTGCCTCATGATTTTCAGGCATGAACAAATTACGTCACTCAATATTCCGTTGTCAATAACATCACAACTTAAACAGTTGATCGATTTTTTGTACATATCAGATTCGGGTAATTGCGCCAAAACATCGTCAAAGGAAGTCGCAAATAGCTCCGTTATCAAGGCACATAATTCGTCTCTGGGTACCGTATGCGCCAATCTTTGTACCTTGAAGAGACTCAACAAGACATCGATTATGAGGAGTATCAATTTCTGACATGACTCAAGCTTATCTGGTTGGTGCAACGCTGTGACCAGATGATGAGTTACGCACATTTTCAGCTGAAGGGTGGTGGAAGCAACTAACTTCTGGACATCGGAGGCCTGGAACAACACGTTCCGATCTTGGTCTTTCAAAAGGGTTGCAATCTGGCTTAAACTCTCGCTGCTTTTACTCAAATCAGAATCAGTTACAGAGCTCAAAATAACTCCTAGAGTCTCTGAAACTTCGTTCGATCCTGTCAACATTGACAGCTTAGCATGATTGGATGATCTGGACTTTACTGTATAGCTTGGAATCGGTTCTCTAAGAAGGGCTTCAACTTCCGGATTCGAATACAACTTAGGCATAGACGGGATTGGTTTTCGATCTCTTTCGATTTCTTCGAAATCGAGTTTGAAATACTTATTATTTATCAGTCTGTTATTCGGATTGAGAGGTTGGACGTCATTAGCTGGAGCGGTTTGAGGTCTGTTGAACAGCGCTTCTTCCTCCTGGTCCAAAGCATTGTCAGCTCTAACCGACTGTGAAACAGTAGCTATCTGTCTCGCACTTGCAGGTGCTGCTGATTTAGAACCTGGAGCTACACTTTTGATCCCTTTAACTTGGTTCATCCCCACCAGCTTATCCTGCACTGGCTCTACAGTAACATTCACATTAGTATTCGCTTTCAAACTGCGCTTTATTCTCTCATCTAACATACTTTGTTGTTTCTCGGGAAGGTTTCCAACCCACTTTTTGGTTTGTTCTTCTCCTACCAAACTAACAGCTAGTGTTAAAAATCCCAGAGCTGAGTTACGTACTGTATTGTCTTTATCGCCAATCATAGCTGCAATTTCTTTCACCGCTTTTGCTTGCGACGGATGGCAGATGATCAGGCCCAGACTTTCAACCAGACCTGTCATCGCTTCTAGACATTCACTCCTTCCTCTTGCATTTTTCTGTTTGGTTCCGTCCATTAAGAAAGAGAAAATCTTGTTGGGTGGGTACAAAATATGAGAAAACTTGACGATAGCTTGCACTTTCTTTCTGATTTCTTCTTTCGGATCACCGATTCTTTGCATGATCATGTAAGGGAAGAACGACTGCGCTTCTAAGTCAGAAAGAACCAGTGAATCCATTGAACACTCTTTGAACACTGCCAAACTCAAGTCCAGTACTTTCAAAATAACTGTTGTGTTTGTGTCAAATAGACGCAAACTGAACCATTTCAACAGCACATCGCTGTTAGCACATATAACCTCGTTGTTCTGTGGTAGACAAAAATCGGCTAGAACCTGCATCGCCTGAATATGATACTTGAAATCGGCGTGAAACAGTAATCCATGTATGGACTTGCTGCAGATAGGGGCCATTTGCTCATTCAGCTGTTGAAGATGCTCTTTAGTTGGGGCAGTGAAATTCCATCTCAAAACTTTGTGACTGTTCTCATCTTTGAGCCGCTGCTCCTTCGATTCTTTTCCCTTTCCTTTAGTCAAAGGAGGACTCAAGTCTTCTTCTTCAACCTGTTTTGACTTGCCAGGAGCTGTGCTTTGTCGTGACCTTGCAGTTGACGCTCGGGTTCCTTTCGGTTTTCCTGTTCCAGTTGATTTCTTACTTTCGCCTCCTCCTCCTCCTCCGCCACCCCCAGTGTCCGATTCCACGTCGCTTCCTCCAGGCGATGACGGCAGTTCGAGCTGTTTTGAAGCGGTGCTTGGTTTAGATCCTGGTTTCGAAGCAACTGATTTTGCCGGCCCTGAAGCCGACGGTTCCACGACTGGAGGCGCTGCAGCTGGAGGTTTGAATTTTCCTTTTATATCAGGGATATTTGGTCTCATTCCTTCTAGAATCTTCGCGATTGCTTGTTGACTAGTAGGCGAGAGCTTGGAAGTTTGTCGGAATACCTTATCGTATCCGATGTGACCTAGGAACATCAAACAGGCTGCTTGAGCCGCTTTCCTAACATCCGCATTCCTGTCCTCGAGAGCGTTGAAAACGGGAGTCAGGCACGGAAGTAAATCGGGAACTGGCAGCGGTTTAGAAAGACCCATTTGTTTTTCGAGCCATGCTAGCAGACCCATTTTGAGATTGACGTTATTGCTCTTCAGCGCCGTAAACACAATTTCATCCTCAAACACAAGAGCCAGAGGACAATTGGAAGCCCAAGCATCTAAACATTTATTACACGATTGTCTTACTGAAGGCTTCGAGTCGCTCAAACTATTGAATAAAGCTGCCGCGAAGGTTTTGAAGTGTTGTTTGCAGCCTTTTGGTCCCAAAGCTGTCGCGAGTTCCTCGCAAATTCCAGCAGTACTCGAAACCAACAGCTTGTTCGAATCTGCTAGCCTTTTACAAAGCGCAGCTGGTAAATCGCCCAAGGTAGGAGTAACAAAAGCTGCTTGCTTTATGATAGTTTGAACTTCTTGCAAACCCTCTTCACGTATTTTCCATTTACTGTCGGCTAATTTTGCGAGAAGCTCCTCCGTGACTTTCGAACTGATGTCGGTTCTCGGCATTAAGTCCTCCGGTTCCTCTTCCTCCGCGGGTTGGCCCAACGCTCCTCCGTCGCCTTCAGTACCTTCTGCGATCTTAATACCTCTAGTCGGGGTTTCTGGTTTCTCGTCCTTGACCTTTTCGAACTCGGCGTCAATAACTTGTAATGTTGTTGCTTTTTCACTTTCAAACAATGCTCTGATTTGTGGACCCACGTAGATGTGCATAATTCCTGCTAGCGTTATCGCACCCTGACGAACCTGTTGATTGCTAGCGAGCAGGCAGGTTTTAATCTTTTCTGTCATTGACTTTGGATTCAGACCTTTAAATCCGAAAAGCCGAATATTTTCCGCGACCCAATTGAAGGCTTCACTTTGATTTTTAGGATTCTTCTGCGCCATGGCCAGTGTTAGAACATCCTCGGCCACTATCGGAAATCCGACTTTCTCAGCTATTTCAGTTAAAGCAGTTTTCGCTTGATTTCCCGACTTAATATCTCCCAGCTTGTCCACAATCGGCTGAGAGCAGCCCTGCCACGTTGTTTTCGAGAATTTTCCCAGACGTGCAATTTCTGCAACAAGAGTGAACTTCTGAATCATGACGTTGAAATTTGTTTCTTTGAATTTATTCTTTCCTCCAATGATTCGAACCAATGCTTGGCAGGGCATCTTTTCGGGTTCCATCAGAACTAGTTTCTTTTTCACTTCTTCCATAGCTTCTTGTCGTTCTTTCCAATTAGCACTGTCCATTTTCTTGCGAATATCCTCAACAAAAAGCTCTTCCCTGATATTTTCAACAGCTCCGTCGTCTAACTCCCGCTCAATAACCTCTTTAGGTGCCTCTTTAGCCACTGGTTTTTTCTTCGCTGCAGCGGACCCACCGGCTTTTGAAGCACCGCCTCGAGCACTTCCGGGAGCGGTTTTTGGAGGAGCAGCCGCCACAGGAGCGGCGGGTGTCTCAACAGCTTTTTTGCCCTCTTCGCTTTCCGGCTTAGCGATCAGTTTTTCATAAGTCTCTTTGATTTTATCCAGTTTCAACTTGTCAATGTCACTTATAAACGGCATAATGATCTTCTCTCCGGCTAGCTTCCAGATTGAAGCTATTAATTCGTAACAGGCATCGCGAATCTCAGGCTGGGATTCATCCATGCGCTTCTTCAATACGGGCATCAGCTGTTTAATCAAAGACTTGGGAACTTCAGCTGGTTTTGCCACATCCAAGATATATCGCTTGAACACCAGTAAGCTTTCTGTTTTGACGTTCGGACTTTTGCTTTCACATTGCTCCAGAAAATCTTCCATGAAAGATTCCAGTTTATTTGTTTTGATGACAGCGTCCCCTGCTAAACGCAAGGAGTCAACAACTGCTTGTTTCTTTTCTCGGAACCGCTCCAAAATAGCACCGAATACGAAACTTGAGTAAGTAGAGAACTTTTTTCGAAGTCCATTGGCAAGCGCTGCAACACATTCAGCAGCCACGATGACCACCATGACATTCGAATCTTTCGAAATGATTTTCTTCATAGCGCGAACAATGTCGCCATAATCTCCGGGTTGTAATTTAGGTGCGGACGCTAGCGTCTTGAACCCTGTCAGAGCATCTTTTCTAATGGACCACTTCTTTTCCTCGAGTTGTGTCAAGAAGTCCGCAGGCACTTGCGATAGGATATCAACAGGTTCCATAAACTCGTAGGGGTCAACAACCTCGACAGGCGCGACCGGAGCTCCGGGGTCACCTGAGGATGAAGTGGCTCCTGCTTTAGCTGCAGCAGCCGCTTCAATTTTAGCACGATAATCGGCCTGGGATCTGAGGAACCTGGTCGGCAAGGGAGGAGCTACGGTGCCTATTTTTGCCCATTCCTCCTCCAGTTCTTTCAAGGCAAGAGGGGGTATCCCATTTAAGGCTTGTTTAACAGCCATGTTAACCCACTTGTACATTTCAATCGCGAGTTGCTTCGCTTCATCTCGGACAACTTTGTCTTTGTGCAGGAACAGAGCTGGCATGATTTTCAAGAGGGGTTTAATGCCGACAACTTTGTTGCCAAAAGCAGCAAGGGCTTCTCGAACCGTTGAAACTGCGGCTACGACATTTTTGGGTGTTTTGTGGGAGAAAGCTTTGCTCAGTTCCTCGATGACAATTTCCTGCTTCTCGATTTCAATATACATTAACAATATTTCCACTGATTTCTCTTTCGCTTTTGGTCTCGCCCCCAGACCTTTGGCAACAACGCCAGAAACCACCTCGCTGGCAGTTTTACCGGCGCATGACGCGTTTTCTACGAACACAGCAATGGCTTCCAATCCTTTTTCCTGTGCAAAAGCATTAGCATCTACCGCTAGATTTTTCATGTAGTGCTGAAATTTTGCGAATTCGGGTGATTTTTCGTCGGCCATTTCGAATATTTTCTTGAGCTGTTCGTATCCATCCATTCTGGCTTTCCACATTTTGTGTTGAATCTTCTCCTCGGTGGGAAGTTTCCGCCAGGCATCTTCATCATCTCCCATTGTGAACAGAGCTCAATCGTAGGGGCAATCGAGGGGACTATACAATAACTGAAAACACAAAGCAGGTTATAGGAAAAGTCACACATATATTAGAAATCAATTCCTTTTCAGAACCAACGATGGTGAAGTGGCTAAGTGTCTGCCTCTTAGTCGAGAGGTCTGTGGTTCTAGGCTTATCAAGACCCGTGCTCGTGTTGCCAGCGTCTGAGGCAAAAATTGTCAGCCCGTAAAATAATCAAAAAATTTCAAGTAGTAACTTAACCAGGGCGCACCAGCAGTTTTAGGTAACAAATTGATCAGCTCTCGTTTATTGGTCGATTCACACTAGAATACAAGTGCCGTATCTTTAAAAAATCTGTTATCTCTTCACCTCCAGCTTCAGGTCTACCACAGCCTGACCGATTTCGGCTGCAATAGTGGTACCACGTGATAGTTCTAGACGCAAAAAAACGACCTTGAGTTGCAAAAACAGAGCTTCGCTCAACGAAATAACTCAGTCTGGAATGTGGGGAAATAAGAGAAATTGACTAATCTTAGACAGGCTGCAAAGCCTTTCATAGATCCTCTGCGAATCGCAGGAACGACAATTAATTAATTATTTATTTATTTTTACAACAAAGGAACAGTAGTTTTACCTCGAATGCAATACAGAAAAAAAAAGGATTTGAATTTTAGATTTGAAATGTGATTTAGATTCTTTTTTTTAAGTTTACCGATTACCGGAAACTATTTCTTTGAAAGAAACAATGAAGTTTAAATATTTGTCTTCATATTATTCGTAATAGCTAAATTCATTTTTTAAAGGCACATTTTAGGTAAAGGATAAAAAAAAAAACTGGTTCAAACAACAACACCCGGTTGCTGTGCAAACACAAGGACTTGTTCCGACCAAATCAAAAAGCCCAGAACTACTTGAGATTTTTTTAAATGCATCATTTTTTTAAAATATTTTCATTTTTAATCGAGTGAAGAGTGAACGCATAAAAAATTCGCTCTATAATGGATCTTTGACAGTGGATCTTTGACAGTGGATCTCTTTGGAAACCTATCAGCAAAACTTCTGATCGAAGAAAACTCTGTTAAATGATTTTCCTTCCATGTCTCGCTTTGGTGAAAAAAAAGTACGAGTGCTCACGATTCAAGTTTCTTAACACATCAATAGAACATTCTGCGATAGTTTGACAGTATGATTTGATGTGAATAAAAGAAAAGTTATTTTAATTAAAACTTACAGAAGAGTTAAAACAAGCAATCATTTTTGTCGTTAAATGATTAATTTGAGCCAACTTGATTAATTACTTGTTTATCTATGGCCAACATCTTACGGGCCTTGTGCCTAGCGTTGATGCTAGGTGGACAAAAAAATTTTGCTATAAAAAATTATTGCTGTAAATGTCATTGATAATGCTAGCTGGAATTTTTAATTTAATTTAAATTAATTTAGCATAAACTATGACACTTGCCTGTAATTAAATCTTTGAATTCTCATCAAAACAAATCTAGAACTAAGAAAAAAACTTTAAAATTAGTAATTTTAGGCTATTTGAGAATTTCGATTATATGTAATCAGAATATGTTTCCTTGTTTCAAATCCGTTAACTCTGGCTTGTTTGGAGATTACTAAAAAATTTGTCGAGTCACAGCAGATCAAATGAATGGGGATATCTATTTTGCGTGCAAATCAGCTGAACAAGACCCAAATATCCAGGCTTTAAAGGTATCATTAGATACCAAAGACGCCCCGGTGCTATTTGTAAACCGAATTCGTCTTGTGGATAAATTATACCTTTAGATGCTACTAAAATTTTTCTCCTCTGTAAGCTCAATATTTATTGAGTCGGTAAAAGAAGCTGAAAATTTGTCGTTACAAACTGAAAAAATGAAAGACCAGGGAAAAAATAAATGTTTGTACACCTCTGACAGTTAGACAGTATTGGCCACAAAAATTTATGTTGTGGTACCAATAAAATTCAGCACTGAAATGTTTAAATCTTGGCCTCTGATTTTTGTTCGCTTCTCTTTTTTCAAAGCAAGTCTATGAAAATAAGAATTGTTATAACGGATAGGTGCTTATAAACAAGGAGAAAAAGCAAACAAATATGATGATCGTCGAAGTTAACTGACGCTTCTTTTGAGTCACAAAGCTATTCACTTTCCGTGAAGTTTCTTGTAATTGTTCCGGCTTCAAAGAAAATGGCGGAAAACTTGTGCTCGGGGTATTTTTTCCTCTAGCCCAATTTCGACTTTTTAACAAGTCAGTTTTGAAAAAATTTACAAACATTCTTCTTAAAGGTGTGTTCAGCTAAAAAGTTCGATTTTTACCTGTGACCATTTTTCGTTAAGTTGTGGGGGTTTGAAAAATGCCAATTCGGCCAAACTGCGACAATGAACACACAATGTATTGGTGCATAGAAATTTGTGTCCTTGACAAAACAGTCCGGAATTCAAAAAAGTGTACCAGACATTTATATCCCAGACAAAAGTGTCCGAAACTGTTTCGCAAAATTAATTTTTGTATTGGACCCTGTGATCTTCAAAGCTTTGATTTTTTGCGGTTTTTATTGCTCTACATAAAAATTCTATGAGTAAAAAATAACCCTAGAACAGTCAAATCAAAACCCAATTTTTAGAAAAAATAATAAAGCGAGTTAGGCCGGGCGGAGCAGTCAAAGTTTCAAGAAGAATTTTCTTATTTGGATGAAAGTTCAAATTGAAAAAACCAAATAGGGTAAATTGGGGATAAAAACGAAATGTGTAGACTCGTCCGGGCTAAAAGGGAAGGGCATGGGAAAAACCTGATTACATAGATCACTTTGCCGTTTTCAAAACGTGTCTCGCTCAATTTTGAAAAAATCTAGGAAAAAGTTCAACTTAGAAAAATTATTGAACTTTACTGCTATGCAAAATAAGCTTAGAAAAACAAATCGAGTTTGAATCAAAGTTACTTAACGCTGCAGCACCCCCTTTAGGAAAATCCGAATTTTATTTGGGTCATAGACCTCAATTAACTTTTTGTCAAAATTTTCTTGTCAAACTTGACATAAAGAGTTTTTTTTTAAACGAGAGTTTGCCCAGCACATATACTTTCAATCAAGATTTCAGCATTTTTTGTCCAACCTGAAACCTTTCAACCAGCTTTAGAAAAATTGAGTGCTTGTGTTCCGGAGTTTAACGAAGTTGCTATTCCAACCTTCAACAGCATTGTTGGTTCTCGGACGCCCGGTTATAAAACGTTGATGACAACTCCAGCTTCAATGTCGAATCTGGTATTTTGACAATCTCAATTTCGTGTCGACCAATGTAAATGTCCTAAAAGTAATTGAAGATTGGGTCGGCTGTCTCTGGGCATGTCTTCTGAAGAGTTTGAAAAGCAGTATATACGTCATTTACTGGCAAGAAAGTGGTACTTGAACGCAAGTGTATAGTGTATATCTGACAGAACACACTCGGTACCGTATAGAAGGTGTCATCGCAGTACCAATCATCAACACCAATAAAAAGAGATCTAGATTTGGAAGCGTAGCGAAAACTATTATTCGCTTCGTATCACTAAGTCTAGAGTCAAAATGAAGGAAGCGCTTGCCACTGTGTCACTTTCAGCACCTTTGGCAGTTCAAAATAAGTCGAGGATTTTGGTTCCTGAATGCTGGACCGTCTTTCATGTTTTTGCTCTGTTAACGGTACTCTGCTTGGCCGATTAGCCAGAGAAAACTGCTGCAGTACCTCTGTTGATGTCTCTTTGGACAGAGAGAATCGTTTGACGCGGTGGCTCATGTGCAACGACTGGTCGTATTTTGAGGGCTGTTCTGAATTTCCGTTCTCAATATCGACTGGATCCGGAAAATGACTATAACTTATAATACTGACGTTCTCTTACAAACTACGCGCACGGCCACTGCAAGTAGACAAAACATAATGCCACGAAATTGAGGTGTCTTTAAATTCGATGTTCGAAGTATGCGTATGCATGAACGCAATTCGTTGTTTTTATTTGTCATATGGATTTCAATTAATAACACGAACTCAAGAGCAAAAATAATGACACTCATGCCTACGTTTAGCAAAAAACAATCAATGAGGCAGTTATTGTGTAGGTATGTGTAAATGATTTGAGCAATATGGTACTCAAAAAAATTCTGGTCTAATCGCACAGTTGCAAGGCCTCATGGAACTAACCCCCCTTTTAAAAACTTATCCAATCAAACTAGTCGCTAACTAGCGCGGCAATTGCCCGGTCAAATTGGGGACAATTTTTTTTGGGAACCAAATGTATTGGAGCAGTTTTGTCAGTTTTTGCCGGAACATAAATGTCTGGGACGCAAATGTCTGGACAGGGAAAAATTTCGTGCTTTTCAGCGAAAATTGCAAAAAACAGTTTCAAATTAATCAATTTGCTTTTATTATTGCGTTATCAGACTCAGAATATGTCACTTTGTTGTTAAAATAGCGTGAAAAAAAAATATTTTTTTCCGAGTATTTTATGATACGAGAATTCTTTTGTAAACGAGAAGTTTCTAAACGTTATGTACCACCTAAACGCTAGCTGGTATTTTACTATATTCAACTGAGAGTGATTAGAGGATCCTTGAAAGGTTTTGCGATTTTTCGGGGTATTAAATTTATACGAAGCTTTAGCGAGGCTTTGAAAATTCCAGCTTGTATTTTCAAGATATGAACTTGTATGTTCGAGCGAGGAATAATCAAGATAGAGTTAAAAACACCGAAAAATCGCATAACCTTTCCAAGATCCTCTCATCACGCTCACGTGTTTAGGTAGCTCATAAAGTTTAAACGTGAAAGTTTTAGATACAATTTCTTAGCAGCTCGAACCAGAATAAGAAAAACATATGGATAAATTGTCTGACCTCACAAGCCTCCTCGTGGTGTCTAATCCGGTACATAAAAACATCCGAGTTCCGGATGTAGTTATCGTTTTCTCGAATAAATATTTTCGAATAAACAAATTGTACGTTTGAAATGGTTTGCAGGTAGATTCAATCAATCTGCTTGACGAAGATAGCAAGTCATTTTAATTCCGTTCTTC